GTTTTGAGAATGATGAGGGCGATGAATGTACAAATGCGCTTTACACAATTGATGTATGTATGGATTGTGATAAGAGTTGTATAATCCCCTAATAAAATGATTTTTAAAAATGGAATTTGCTGTTAAGTAAGCTATATAGCTTATAGTTTTTGTATGTTGGCTGCTGCATATTTTTATATAAGTAAAATTTATAATAGACTTATGTATTCATAAACATATGCATATATATATTTGAGGAGGTAGTTATTTAACATTTATCAGCTCACTGGTATGGGAAAATGCTCAAGTAATAGGATCTATCTTACAATTGTATAAGGTATCTAAAGTCAAACTCACTGTCATTGAGTCAGTGACTGTGTAGGGGAGAATAGAACTGCCTCTTTGGGTTTCGGAAGCTATAAATCTTTATGGGAGCACAAAGTCTCATCTTTTTCCTGAGGAGAACTTGGTGGGTTTGAACTGCTGACCTTGTGGTTAGCTGTCCAACAGAGAATCCACTATGCCATCAGGGTGCCCCTAATTTTATGAGTTAGGTACTATTTTTATCCCCATTTTGGAAAGGCCAAAACTAGACTTAAGAGTATTTACAGTACTTGTCCAATATAAAATAATGAATAAATGAGGAAGATGAAATTTTCACCATGCTAGCTTTCTTTGTTGGGTAAACATTAAGCTTCTAATGACAAGGTTGGCAGTTCAAACCCACCAGCTGCTCCCTTAAAGATTTACAGCCTCGAAAATCCTCTTTAGGGTGGCTGAGTCAGAATTGACTAGATGGCAGTGGATTTAAGGCTGTTGGGTTTTTTTCTTTTCCTTTTCTTTAAAATTGAGTTATAAACAGTAGAAAACAGGATTTTCATTAGGGATATATATATATCTATATAGAAACAAATATATTCCATAACAATACATATAATTAATTGGCTTAAAGGGAGAAGAACTAGAGAGAATAAGATCATTTTAGAAGCTATTGCAATCCAACTTTAATTAGGATCATTTTATCTAGGCATTAAGAGGTAAAATTGATTCTGTCTAAAAAACTCCACTGCAAATTAAGTAGTGCAACTATCAGTACATGTAAATATAGTAAATAGAATTGACTAACTTATATTCAACCATACTACAGAATATTCAACAATGCTTTGGGAGGGAAAAACTCAAGATCACTGTTTAGTAGTTGAAAGATATATCAATAAAAAATATGTTTGTACTTTAAAAATACCTATACTCACTTATATATACATTAACAGATTTTTCTAGCTGGACCCATACTACAACTTCAAATGAGAAGGCCCCTCAAACAATGCTATTAAACAGAAATTTTGCATCTAGAAACCAAAATTTGACAGATGCAACTAAAAGCAACTCCTCGTTTCCAGAAGATTTGAATGTTAACTTTGAATTGGGAAATGAAGTTTGGGATGATTTTGATGATGAATGTTTAATAGAAGTGACTAACTTTTTAACTGAAACCGATAAGACAAAAACAACGGGTAAGAAGTTCTTTTAATATTTTTTTAGTTTGGGCTTCTGGGACTAATTTTTTTCCTTTATATGTGTCCATACTAAACAGCTTTAACTTTTCAATACTCTAAGTTTTAGCAAAACTGATAATGTGTGTCTTTGAGAGCTACACCGATAGCTTTGGCATTGGGAGAATCCTTCCATAAATAGCATACCCTTCTGTCCTGTCCGCACCAAGAACAGAAGTTAAGGGCATATTACATTTGATGATACAGCAATGAGCATTTTCTAAAGTCTTAGTGCAGTCTTTACTGGCACAGTAATCAGATTGTTGATTGAATTTTCTCTCATAAAACAGACTGTCTTGCTCTCTATTCTGAGAGCACAAATGACCTGCTAATATTTAGCAAGGACAAAATTATTTCATTTTTAAAATGATTTTAATGCTAGCAAGAAAAGAAAGACAACCTTTATTTCTAGTAGAAATAAATAAAAAGGATTAGTTTATATTGTATTAAATATTTATTTAAATCATCTACAATCCAAAAATAATGAGATGTAGTTCTTTGAGTTATAGGCTAATTCACTGAACTTCACTAAGGTAGAAAAGTTAAAATCTCAGTAAGATGAAGATACTCTTGTCCAAGAGGAAGGAGAAAGGGATATCAATCCCTAAACCTTATTAGTGCAAATACCTATTCCCACAATTATAGTTACTTCTAATATGCTCCATGCTTTTTTTAAAGTAGAATCTTCCAGAGGGAAACAGTGAGTGGTCCAAACTTTATTGTTTCAGGGCCTTAAGAATTTGCTAAAGAGCAAATACTCCTTTCAAAGGAGCCCTAAAAAGATTCTTTAAAAACTCACTGCAATCTAGTTGATGCCAATGCATAGCAACCATATAGGACAGGGTAGAACTACTCCTGTGAGTTTCCAAGACTAATTCTTTACAGAATAAAAACCCCATCTTTCACCCTCTGAGCAATGGGTGCTTTTGAACTGTTGACCTTCAGTTGGCAGTCCAACACCACTATGCCATCAGGGCTCCATAGTCTCCATGATATTGGGCCAATAGGCACAGCTTCCCATATCATTAGACAACCATCAGTCCCTAAAGCTAGGTTAAACATTCAAAAGTACTGCAGGTTCATAGGCAATGTGTACTGATCCTTGTAGGCAGCCATATCCTATGAGGCCATAGCTTTGGCAATAGGAGAATCAACCTCAATAAATGCCACTATTCCCCCTTCTCCATTTATGCTGTTGTTACATGCCATTGAGGCCGCTCCAACTCATAGTTAGCCGGTGTCCAGTAGAACGAAACACTACCTAGCCCAGCCCCATCATTGCAATCATTGTTAAGTTTGAACCTGTTCCTACTGCCACTGAACTAGTCCATCTCAATGAGGGCCTTCCTCTTTTTCTTGATCCTCTAGTTTACTTATCATCAGACCCTTCGTTTATAGAGCACTTTAAATGAGCCTCATACACCCATACCATTGAAATATTGAATGAACTTAGACCTGATTGTTTACAGAAATTAAAAATAATAGTACAAAACAGTGGCTTTGCATCCTTTAAGAAGCCCTGATGTAAAAAAGAAGAAGCCTGATACTAGTGCCTGCCTAAGCATCCACTCTGCAAGAGAAAGACGTGGCAGTCTGCTTCCGAAAATATTTACAGCTTTGGAAACCCCTTAGAGTAGTTCTGCTCTGTCTTTTGGGGTCACTATCAGCCAGAACCAACACAACAATTATGAACTTTTTGTTGTTGCATCCTTTGAATATGAAGAAGCTAACCTGTGTGCTTTAGAGTTTTACTTCCTTAGGTTTCCTCCCTTACTCATTTATACAAATTAAATTTGATTGTTGACAAGAATTATTTATTCTTTCCTTAACCAGATATTATTAGAGAGAGCCTTTATAAAACTTATAAAAATTTCACTTATAAAAAACTTATAAAAAAATTCACTATTTTCTGGCATTTTATTTGAAAATGTTATCTCCTTACCTAGGATTTGGAAACACTTTGAGTTCAAGCACCAGGGGACACAAGCTAACCTTCCAAGAATCAAAGACCCAATTCAAAAGAGAAATGTCAAAAAGGCAAGTTTTAGAATTTTGATTTGGAATGCTTGAAACTTTAGATCTTCCTCACATAATTGGTGATGGGATCAAGTCATTTGATGTCAGAAAAGTATAAGGTGTTAACCAACTTAATCTCTCTTAATCTTAGAATTTTATTTTTTCCAAGCGCTGTTGTCAGACCACTTATATCAGCATCACCTAGGGTGTGTATTTTAAATTCACATTTCGAGACGCCACTCAGTACTTAATGGATCATAGTCTCTGGAGCTGGAACCCAAGAAACTTCATATTTTAGAAGCCTTGAAATATAAATAGGAGTTTGACAGATGAAAAAGAAGAAGATGAGATTCCAGTAGAAAGACACATCTATAAAAGAATAAAACTTGAAAAATATATACCAAGACCAAGTATCGGCAAAGTATAGTATGCATGTCTGCAGCATTAAACGGAAGGTGACCAAGACCTGACTGGGAAAAAAAAGCCTTTGAGTGCTATACTTAAACACATGTGCTTTTCCAAGTAAGTCAGGATCACAAATTCAAATGCTTTCCAGATTTGGTAGGCAAACTGCAGAGAACCACATCTAAAGGCACAAACCACTACTCTGCTCCATTTAATTACTGCTGTACAGGAAATATAAATCTGGAGTCAAATATTCTGACAAGCTGACAGGAAAAGCTAGGAATCTGAAACTTTATATGACATCTCCTAATTTTAAAAATGTGACAACTAATTTTGTAAATGTTATTTGCTGTACAGCACCTCCCTTCATCCTCTACAAAAGTGTCCATAGACATGATGTAGCCTCGGGTCACTAGTTTTTTAACCTCCATGGTAAGAACTGAAGAGCTACCCAAGGTATTTAAGCAAAGGGGACAAATTGATAGCAATGATATATGGAGTCAATTTTAGAGATCAGAATCACCCCATTGGTGGCTAATGAGAAAGGTAGGTTTGATGAGACCCAAACTAAGAGTGATGGAAACATAGAGGTAGAATTGGAATTTTGAAACATTTTAGAGATAAAGCAGATGGGATTTGTCAATCGATGTATGATATTGAGGAAAAAAATAAGGATTAATGAATACAAGTTTTCTAGCCTAGCAATGGATGGGTGAAAATATTATTACTTGAAGTTAACACAACATGATCAAGGTAGATAAAGACACTGAGAAGAACACAAGAGTAAAGGACAACTATGGTTAATGCTATAAGAGCCCTGGTGGTGCAGTGAGTTATGCATTGGGCTACTAGCCATAAGGTCAGCAATTCAAAACTACCAGCCGCTGCTCCTCAGGAGGAAGATGGGGCTTTCTACACCTGTAAGGATTTAGCTACAGGTGCAGTTTTACCCTGTGGGCTGCTAACTGCAAGGCCAGCAGTTCATAATCCCACAAAGAGTTACAGTCTCAGAAACTTACAGGGGCAATTCTACCTTGACTATATGGATGCCATGAGTTGACAATGAATCGACAACAGTTTTTGCTGAAAGGTGCCTTCTGCAATACCTTTGGTTACAGGTCACAAAGGTGTTTTAGGGCACTATGTCTGGATTCCTCTAGTCCAGGGTATCTTAAACTTTTCCACTTGGAACCCATTTTCTCTGGAAAGATTTGCAACATGGGCAAGTGTTGCCAGAAACACCTAGGATACATTATGAGTTTGATTTGGAATATTTGGTTGTTTCATGTCCAGAAATCTCACTGTTGCCAATTTTTTCTTGACCCTTACATTCAGTTACAGTTTAACAAGCTTTGCTTTATTCTCTATCAGTATAGTAACATTGGCCTTTCTATGAATTGAGTTTTATTCCACATTTTCCTCCCATTCTAACCAGACCTTCTATTATTTCCTGGTTGGTAGTGGTAGCCAGGCACCAGCTGGTTCTTCCAGTCTCCTGCTAGAAGAGGCCATTAGTCCTGTGAATGAATTTCTTCCGTGAGTCTTTGATTTCCTTCACTTACCTTTGTTATAGACAAGAGACCAATAGTTGTGTCTTTGATGGTTGCTTGCAAGTTTTTAAGGCCCTTGATGCTACTTACCAAACTAGGATATTGTTGCAAAAAACTATAGTCCAGAGCTTTCAAACCCAGAAAATCAATCTTACAAAGTGTTTGAATATTTCTAGAAAGTATCTCTAGCTAAATGTATGTGCGTTATTAAATATATATACAGTATCTTCAAACATGTATATCTCACACATGCACTTCCATGTTTTTCCACACCTATGTTGTATACATATATAATCACTACCTGTATAATCACTCTCATATTTTTGGCTCGTTATTACTGTTGTTGCACAATTATGTGTGCTATAGCATTTACCCTAACTCACTGCCGCAGAGTCTATTCGGACTTATAGCACCCTATAGGACAGGGTCCCAAACCAGAAACACCTCCTAGGTGCTATTCATGTTACAGGCCAAGGAGGAATGTGATTCTCTAAATAGCAACTATCCAAATGGTCAATGTTTACCCAAAAGTGAAGATAAGAAAGCAAAAGGGGACCGGCAAATGGAAATGAAGAAAGTGCTGACACGCTGTGAGATGGTGGCCAATGTCAAAAAGCCATCTCTGTGTGAATTGTTGAATGGGAATCTAATTTGCTGAGTAAACCTTCATCTTTATTATTATTTTTTTTTCCGCTTCATTGCCATTATATAATTTTAGCACTACTCAGCAAGTTTAACTCTGATTACATGGATGTGCATGTTATGCAAAAGAAAAATTATCCAGCAAAGTGTTATTTCTGGGTGTCCATTTACTGACTGCTGGGAACAGTTTAGTAGGAGTACATGATAAGCATTTTTGAGGAGCAGGAAACCTTACATCTGAAAGGAAGCCATTCCCTGAACCTGCTATTTGTGAGAGGACAGGGCCGCGAAGGCGATTCCTGCGAGGGTTCTATTCAAGCTCTTATGCTTTGAACGACCAGGAGAGAGCAGCTGCCTCTCCGGCTTGGACGCTGTCTGTTGGTCATTATAACTATCAGAAAATATACAAGAGAACATATACACATATATATGATCTTATTCCATTACTTACTTCGCCAAAACTATGATCTCATGGCACATTCTTCAAAACATTTCCGCCTTTACAAATTCACCCTATCAATCTAGATGCTTCCCAATTAGTAGCGGCCTGACACATTCACCAAGATTCCTGACGGATGCAATCGACTAGTGGCATTTGATCCCTGTGTCCACTGCTGAATTAGACCCCGCTTGGAAACCGACAAACCCCTGAACCAAACTGCCAGCCTCCCGCCGATGAGGCTGGTTTTCACTCGAGAGAGTACAAGGAAAGGACAGAAACCCACGTCACTGCTTTTTCTCAGAGCATACTTTTTAACTGGCAGGCACGGCTCTGAATGGACGATGGACAACTGGGCACCGACATACTGCGACAGGCCTTCTCATGACAGTTACAGGCCATCACCTCATCTAAATGCTCTGGTGGGGGGGGGGGGTTAGTTTTCTGAACATGACAAGAGAAATGTCACTTGTAAACCTTCATCTTTAACACAATAAAGTTGTTATTGTTTTTTTTCTTCAACAATAAATTTTGCTTCACCCAATAAGACAAAATTCAAGGAATTTACATTAGGTGGTAGTTTAAGATAAAATTATAAGCTTCCTGGAGATGGAACCATAATTGATTATTGGAAAAAAAAGGACTATTTGGGAGTTTACTGTTGTTCTTTTCTATATATTATGTAAATTCATATGTGTATAATATACTTTTAAATTAATTTTAACTATGGGTTAAATTTTTAAATATAAGAATGTATACATAATGATAAAAAGTTAAGCCAAAGAAATTTTTAAAAGATAGACTGCTGGGGGATAGATAACTAAGCATAAAACTTAATTTTAAAGAAAGCTGTCTCATGATTATTTCTATAGTCCCTTAAAATAGAATTCTTACCTATTTGGAATATTTAAATTGTGATTTTAGCTAAAGGAAAGGAAACAAACCAAGTTCATGATGATTTTAAGAAGTAGCTTCAGTTTTTATGATACATGTGAGAAACTTTAATCTCAAAAAAAATAAGCTATTATCTCCAAAAGAATAACTATTGAACCAAATTAGAATGGTTTGTTTTTATTGTTTTCTCATATTTTATAAATAATCAATTTTCATTTTTAGCTCTGTTTCATCACACGAGGAACCAGATCTTTATTTATCAAATTCTACTATTTCCAAGTTCAGTGCATCCTCTACGACGAAATTACCTCAACAAGCTGAAACTACAAATATTGTAAGAAGATACACTCCTTTGTTTTTCTTTAAAATTCTGCCTGAATATGTAAACTTAAAATAATTGTTATATTTTACCTCAAAATATAGGTTTATTTACAAGAAAAGGAACAACAAAGTCTTTCACCAGAGATTAAAAAGTTATACTTCCCATACCCTGAAGAGAAATTAAATTATTCAACTTCTGCCCCTGAACTGGACTTTTTTATTAGAAAAAATGAATGTAAAAAGGAGATTGATTTCAGGTAAGAACTCTTTAAAGACATTTCAAGGTAATATCAATAAAATCTTAGAAAAATTTCAGTATTCCTTTTTCCTGGGTTTTAAGCTCATTTTAAAGATTAGAACCTAAACATCAAAAATTTTTAAATGCATTGAAATTTTAGTAAGCTGAAGAGATTCACAACATCAAACATTTGTATTTTCAAGAAATTATATGTTAAAGCTGATATTTAAAATCATATTTACTTGATAAACTTTTTCACTAATTTAAATATATTGGTCATATGAAGTATAAAGTTACTTGAGAGTAATTGATAATGTAAAGTGCAATCACATAGCATGAGTTCATTCTTCCAAAATTTGAATTACATTTTAACTAACAAGTTTTTACACAATTTAAAAGCTTCAATGAAAAATTGAATTATGCTTAATCTGTGCTCTCCATTGCTGGTAATTTTTCTGTGTAATTCTGTAGCAATTGTCTCTTGAAGAGTCTAAGATTAGACCTGGTCACACTTTGATTAAATGGCATTACTTTCTAGTATGTTTAAGGAAATATATGAGAGACCTGGCCTGTACTTTTCCTCATTTTAAAAGACCTGTTGTCTTACAGTCAATTCCATTTTACATTTTCCAAAGTTTAACGCCCACCCACCCACTGCAGACTTTGAAGTTTATGCATATTGAAGTTCATTTGCTGGGTTAACCTTATGACAATCTTTAAGTTTATTCATTGTATACCCATTATTACATTAAATAGGGTCACTAAGAGTTAGAATCAACTTAAGGATAGTGAGTGACTGCATTATTTGTTATGTACTTTAAAATAATTTGTTATAAAAAGTTAATTTTAGGTTGCTTTTTGCCCCCAGTAGGTATCATTCTGATGATGCAGCTGATGACACGAAGTCTTTCCTGGGAATATTTGATGGCATTTTCTAAAACAATCAAATTTCAAAAGATAAAGTATAAACAAAACTGATCACGAAAGCAGGCTTTTTATTTTTAAAGTAGTTCATTATGTTTAATTTTTTTCTCTTGCATTTGATCAGTTTTGTCAACATTTTTACCACAAGATATTTGAATAAATTTATTTTTCCACTGTAACTTCTGAAAAATCACTTTCGCAATTTTAAGCTGATAATTATTTGGCTATTCATTAGATTTTGATGGGAACTAATTTAAAAACTCATTTTATATTTCATAACAAGAAAAGAAGTGGGTCTATTTATTGTTCTGATGTCTTTTGTTTTACTAATGGTATTTAAGATTCCAACAGCTTATTGAAACTCTTCTAATATAACTTTGAACAGCAATAAATAAAGAATGTCTTCATATAGCTTGCGTTCTTTTAGCTTCTTTTCAATGTAGTAAATTCTAAAACGTTATTATATTGATTTTTAAAACTTTGTTGTGAATTGGGCGAAGGTTTACAGAAGAGGTCGTCAGTTTTACATTCCATAATTCACGCACTGTGCTTCGTTCAGTCATCGCAGTCCCGTCAGCGCAACACTAACCGTCCTTCCCTCCCCGTCTCCACTCCTCCTTCTCTCCTAACCGTTCTGAACTTTCTCCTTCAACAGATGCTGCACCTTAATCTCAGTGGTTGTTGTAAAGTGTGTGTGCTTCACTGCCATTACTGTTCCCCTACCATTACTGTTTCTATTGTGTGACTGAAAATTAAACCACAGGGATGAGCTCAGTCAGACCTGAAGAGTGACTCGGGCCATCGTCTCCGCAGTCCCCCCAGTCTCTAGCAGACCTGTAAACCCTGGGACTGTTTGATTTAAAATGTTGTTTCCCCTCTTTCTCCCACTCTATCCAAGACCTTCTAATGTGTCCCTGTCACATTTTTCTGGTCTCAGGATCATGGAGACTGATGTTCACAGTGTCCATTAATCCACATATCTCTGATCTTCAACACTCTTTGTTCCTCCATAGAGGGAGAGACCAATGATTACACGTTAGATGGCTGCTCATGAGCTTTTCAAACCCCAGTATCTACTCATAAAAGTAGAATGCAGAACGTTGTCTTTGAGGAATGTGTTATGCCAGTTGACCTTGTTGTCCTCCAATACCTGCTACCCCAGGTTCAAGAACTCATTCCCTCAAGAAGTTTTGTTTTTTTTCATATCTAAGAAGTATTCATATTTTTTCCTCCTGTGTGCTCCACCACATTCATGGGTATATTGGCAGCAAAGTAAACATCCATGTACAAATGTCCTCTGTCAAGCCTGTATGTATTTGTGGCTACACTGCCATTCTGCTGCTCCTACCCATTCAGCCTGCATGCCTATCTAAACAGCCACTGAGAACTCATTAGGCAGGATTGTGCATAAAGCAGTATTTATCTTTGTTGCCTTTAATGCTTTCCCTCCTCCCAGTATATAAAATTATTATCCATTATTCCCAACAAACTATACATCAAATTTTATTTATTACAAGTAGCACATAGACACAATGCTTAATATCTAATTATTTATAAATTAAGTTGAAGTACTTGAAAATTTTTAGGAAAAAAAAAACATTTCTCTAGACATAGAACATTTAGAGGCAAGACAAGTAAAGAAGAGAAGCTTCCAGGACAGATTGCTATTATCCTGATTAGTAAATGTTTATGAAGCATCATATAGATTAAACATCGACTTAAAACTTACAACAAAAATTAGAGGCTTTGTTTCTACGTTGCAAACTAAGGGCAGCCTTTATTGTATTCATTTTCACAAGTGGTATGTTGCTACCACCAAATCAATCATGCTACAACCTTTAAAGGTTATGAAATACCATTACAATGAAAAACTAGTGCAAGCACACACTTTGACACTAAGAAATTTCAAGTTAATTCATTTAGACTTCTGGTCTACTGAGTGAGATACACTACTTGGCACCATAAAGGATGCAAAGAATGAACGCAGGCTGGCTCTTTGGAGTTTATGTTACATTCTAGTAGAATAGTTGAATAAAGTCATAATAAGATTCAGAATACATTAAAGCAGTGGTTCTTAAATTTCAGAATGCATCAGAACCTGAGAATTCACATTTCTAACAAGTTCTCAAGTTATGCTGGGAACTTGAGACCGTACTTGGAGAATCATTGCAAAAGAGAATTAAAGAGTTGTGGAACTACCTAAGACAGTAAAATAGAATCCTGGCTATGGAGTCAGGGAGGTCTTTACAGAGAAGTTAACATTTGATTGAGCCCTAAAAGGTAAGTAGGATTTTGAGATTCCAGGCAATGGAAACAGCTTGAGAGGAACTTTTTCTCAAAAGGAAAGTGCCAATTTGAGGAATAATGGATAATATTCAACAGATGCTAATCTTGTAAGGGGTAAATTTGAAATTTACCTTAAAGCCAGAGTATGGAGGGCTTTAGGTGCTATGCTAAGAAATGTTGGTGTTATTCAGTAGATTAATGTTTTTCAAACTTACATAATCAGAAGAAATACTTGAATAATCTATTAAAGATACAAATTCCTGGGCCTCATTTCAGATCTACTTAGAATCACTAAGGGAGAGGACTGGCGATTCTCTAGTTTTAACAAGTGCTTAGGAGATTCTCATGATCAGGTCAATTTGGGAAACACTGAAAACTCATTTCTTAAAAAAACAAACAAATCATCAGTGTTACCGTAGACATGCTTCATTTTATGCAAGTGTTTATATGAAAGATTATGTGTAAAATATATGTAATTCAAAACTATATTATATAAGTGAACTTCTTAAAGGAGTCCAATGACTATTCTTTTTATGAAGTGAATAATCTGATAGTTTTCTATTTTGCAAGTTAAACTTTAAATGTAATGGGTTTATTTATAGAATGAACCATATCGTGCAGATTTTCACAAACCAAAAATATTTGTTGGGTGATGTTTTTTATCCCTAAAAGTTTTGTCTTAATCAAGAAGGTCCTTAACAGCATTTTAAGTGATCCATTGGGAATAGGTGAAACAATAGAATATTCATTTGTATTATTTGAGACCTAGTTACATAGGACTTGACAAACAAATAACTGATTTTCCACTGTTATATCACCTTGGGGGGGAAAGTGTATCCTAGACTCCCCCCTCAGACTTACAGGCAGAAAAGGGCCTTTATGTTTAACTAATATTTTTAGTTGGTATATGTTCAAAGCATACAAATCCATTTTAATATTACCTTAAGGAAAGGTGATTAGAAAACAAATCTGAAAATTCTGTAATACATTCTAAAGCCAAATAGAAATAATTGTTGAATTATGCACTGTTTTAAACTTCTGCACAATTTACTCCTTAACTGAGACATTCAGAGTGTCTTCCATGACACCAGTTCTAGAAACAACTCTTATCAAGCACTATAGAAAACCACTTTTTGAGGGCCCCCAACTTGGGGATGGAGTCCTTATCGATGTCAATTGCTTGGCTTCTAATAGGAATATTGGCAACTTCCAAATAATTCCTTTGGAAGAAAGCCCTGCCAATTTGCCTACCTAAGGTCACAACCATGAAAATTGTTCAGAGTGAAGTTCTACTGATTCATATGAGGTTGCAATGAGTGGGAATCTACTCCTCAGTGACTTTTTTGGTTATAGCTGGTGGTTACATGTTATGGAAGCCTGGGTGGTACAGCGATTACAGTGCTTGGCTCCCAATCGAAAGGTTGCTTTGAACTCACCAGAGGCTCCACAGAAGAAAGATGTGGCCTTCAGCTTCCATAACAGATCACCGCCATGGAAACCCTGTCCTCTAGGTATACCCTTAATCGGAATCCACTTGGCAATGGGTTTGATGTGGTTGATAGGTAGATAATATTTACCTGTGGCATTCTAGATAATAATAGGTGTCAGGACAATTAATGGAACCCAAAGTAACCTAAAAAGTTCTGAAAGAGTAAGGATGATTACTTGATTTTCTGCATGCATATTTCCTATTTTAAATATAATCTGGAGATAAAGCTCCTGTTTAACTACCTTTCAGTATAGATTGTTTACCAACTGTATGAATTATCTTTATAATTCTCATGTATCAGCTGGGTATTTTTTTATGTAGCTTGAGAAGAGGCACTTAAGTGCTCTATAAAGTTATGTTTTAATTAACATAGTTAAGAACTTTTACTTTTGTGGGGGAAAGAATACTCACAGAGGAGAAAGGACAAATTGGAGAGCCCAGAGTAACCTAGGAATTTCTTTCTGGGTTTTGGTTAGCTAGTGGAACAAAACAACACAAGCTTTATTGTCATTTACTATCTCATCTCCTGCCTGCCAATAATTAAGGTCTGATCAGAAGACCAGTAACACGGAATCTCCTGGGATTTGGGGAGAAATGCAGCCTCTAAGACCTCACTATAGACCTCTGAATACAAATCTGTATTCAAACAAGATCCTCAGGTGATTATGTACTTATTAAAGCTCGAAACAAGTTTAAAGTGGTAAGAAAATGAAAAGAGGCAATATCAGAATATTAAGAGGATCTATTCAAGCAGACAAGTGTAAGAGTAATGATAATTACTTGATTTTCTGCAT